GCTGATTAGTTTGATTAACCAGTGGGATAACCATGTGATATGTTAGTATTGAAAAACTCTTCAAATTCGATATCACAAGATCATTCTATTTGAAAAAAAAGTTGTTAACGTTTCTTGGTATGACGTTGCACACTAATGTTTTTCCTTATCAAGGGGTACTAAAATGTATGCATCTTCATTTAAATGTTGTCTACCCTTACTATCATGTACCGTTCAAAAGTTGAGATGATTCTAGATACTGAAAATATGTTTTCTTTCCAAGGGGTAGATTTAGAAAAGGGAAGAGAAGGTGGGAGGTGGCTAGGATTTACCTCTAAGGAGATTGGTGAATCTAAGAAACACTGCCTCTCTGCTCTCTTAAACATTACCGGAGAATTAACTGATAATCCTAGTGGAAGAGGAACTATTGTGAATAATTATCTGGAAACTTCTCAAGATTTTCCACAATATGTGAAACAATTAGGAAAAAAAAAGTTTAATGGATTCAATTTAATTGCTGTTGAACTAAGGTACGGCTTCGTTGTGAAGAAATCACTCATAATTATTTTTTGCTTTCCAACATTTTGTGCTATTGTTTAATTATTGTGAGATTTTTTTGCCAAAATTAATTTAAATGATCTAGCATTAAACTATTTTGTTGTAGCAAATATCTGACCATTCTACCATTTCATTATTCACAAGAGAATTAATTTCAAGTAGACAACATACCTACCATTACCTACTAGAAAAATTGGATACATAGTACTTTTCTCCAACGACTTATTTCTTCACTGAAAAATACTGCTTCAAAGGAGTAGTGTGCACACAATGCAATCCATAAATGAATCTCAATTTTAGTGAAACTGATGTGAAAACTTACCACTATAGTAATACTCCAAAAATAGAATCCATCTATTCTGGAAAACATACCGTAGGATTTGGAAATAGTCCAACATACATTCCTCTACAAAAAGTTATAGCAGGAAGAAACCAGTTTATTGAAATTTTAGACAAAAATCTCAGCAAAGACTGCCTAGAGAAAGAATTGATAGACTTGCTCAAAAATACTGATAAGTAAGTAAGCTGTATGGTGTTTCAGAACTGAATTATCAACTGGTAATTTATTATCGGGTTTTATAAGGCCGTTTTCATTTGAAATCCATTAATCGAAAATGTCCTCTTGAGTTGAGATATCAGATAATTAAAATTTTGGAAGACTGCTTTGGAATACCTGATGGAATTCAATGTGCAATTTGAATAAGTGAATTTCAATTCATGAATCTTAACTTGTGTATATTGTATACAATATGTTTCATTTTGTAGACATCTTCCAGATTTAGAGTTACAAAAAAGACAGCCGGTACTTTTTGAATCTCTCAGCTCAATATTCGTAAGAACCGACCCTCCAGTTTATGGAACCAGGTAGTATTTTCCAAAAATTATAACTCAGTGATTTTGTTGTGTGAAACAATGTATTTGATTGTGATTCTTTTCAGGACTCACACCATAGTATTGATTGATTATAACTGGAATTTGGAGTTCATTGAGCATACTATGAAGGATCCAATTGATAACTTCAAACCTATCTGGATCAATACAAGAATTGAATCAAAACTTTGACAAAATATTATCTAGTGTTCACTCAATATATATAGAATTATGTTAACAAATAATCAAAGGCAAGAAAGCTGATAATAGTGCTACACACTATAGTTGATCCAACATGATGAATCTCAAAAGAAATAAAATATAACAAAAAATTTTATAATGCCTTGAATGAATAGTATTTTCGATAGTAACTTTTAGTTTAGCATATCAATGTACTCAAAAATGTCCTTATATCAAATGTTGAATTTACACCGGAAGGATGTTCCGCTCGGACCAATCATCAGTTCCAGAGATTGAACCACTCATAACTTGTCTAGATTCCTACTTCCAATCATTCAATCTCTGCAAAGAAAAACCTCATCCTTTGTGAAGAATTTAACGCATTTTGTTTTGTTACTGGAGGCATTGAATTTACAGAAAAAAAATCAACATTTCTGTCGAAGGAGCATGATGATATCAAAAATGAAATTGAGATGTATAAACTACTCAAGGGTCATATATGGTACAACAACAGCACCTTTCTTAGCATGTAGGAGCCTTCATCAAATTGCTTGCGAAAATGAAAACGATCATCCATTAGCCGCTGACATAATCAAATCAGATTTTTATGTGGATGATATGATACGATCACCGTGTTAGGAATCACACGTTGAAAGGTAAGAACTCGTTAATCCTTGGCTCGCACAAGTTTCGACTTCTGAGGGTTGTCGTACGTAGGGGTGCGACAGCTGGTTGACGGAAAAACAGATTTTAAACAGATTTTTTTTAAACAGATTTGCAACTGAATCAGAGGCAATTGAGAAAACCAAGCAAGTGATCGGTATGCTCAACAAAGCACAATTTCAGCTGAGAAAATGGCGAAGCAACAGTAACAAGGTATTAGAAAGAGTTACAAATGAAATATCAAATGAGTTCATGATGGCAGTTCATCCAGATGCTATGATGAAAACATCGGGTTTGTATTGGAACTCCCAACAGGATATCTTCCAGTTCGTTGTATCAAATGCTGAAGTTTCCATCAACATCACAAAAAGATCTATTTTATCTACAATGGCTAAGCTTTTTGGTCCATTGGGTCTAGTTGGATTGATTATTACAAAGGCCAAAATAATCATGCAAGCAATTTGGAAAAATTACGGCACTTGGGATGAGCCAGTCACTATAGAAATACAGGTTTCATGGAAAAAATATCTTAAAGAACTCAACATCATCAATAAATTACACATTCCGAGAAAATATCGAATTATCAGAATTGAGCTACATGGATTTTGCGACGCATCACAAGTGGCATATGGTGCCTGCATTTATTGTTGAACAACAGAGGTCAAAGGAAATCATTCTGTTCACCTACTCTCCTCAAAATCGAGAGTAGCGCCTTTGAAGCTTATCGCTCTTCCAAGACTGGAGCTTTCTAGTGCGGTACTTCTTTCACAACTTCTACATAAAGTAAAAAATGCAATGAAAATGCCATTACACGCAATTCACCTCTGGACTGACTCAATAATTACATTAGCCTGGATCGCTATGGCTCCAAGTGAATGTCAAACATTTGTGGGCAATCGAATAAGTGAAATTCAGAAATTGACGTCTATAAAGATGTGGCGGCACGTAGCAGGAACAGATAATCCAGCTGACTTAATATCCAGAGGAAAATATGCCAGTGAAATAGTTCACAATTCATTGTGGTGGAATGGACCTTCTTGGTTGAGCAAGGATGAAGGTTATTGGCCAAAGCCTCTGGAATATCATTCAGATAATTTTTTCAATATTACAGACCTAGAAAAAAAGCAAGAAAAGTCTTTTGCTCATTCAGTCACGATTGAGTCATTCATATTCCAAAAATTCTTGTCATTCACTCGATTGCAGCGTATTACAGCATGGTGCTTAAGATTCATTTCGAATGTGAAGAATAAAGAAAAAGTCTCAGGAAGGCTTTCCGTAGAAGAGCTAGAACTAGCAACTATACAGTTAATCAAAATAGCCCAACAAGCAGATTTTTCTCATGAAATCGCACATTTGTTTAAAGGAAAACAACTTCAAAAAACAAGCAAGATTCTAGCCATGAATCCGTTCATTGATGAAAAGCATCTCCTGCGAGTAGGTGGAAGAATTCAAAATGCAAATGTTTCTCCTTTACAAAAACACCGGTATCTTTTATCTCCCAGGCACCATCTCACTCCTTGTTCTCATCAAACATGAACATGAAAAACAACTCCATGCGGGAATACAAACTACTCTTTGCAACTTGCGTCTCAGATATTGGATTATCTCAGGAAAAAACGGCGTGAAGAAGGTTATTAGATCATTTGTCAGATGTTTCCGCACATCCCCAAAAACACATTGGCAACAAATGGGAAATTTACCTGAGCGCAGACTCCAAAAAACCACACCATTCAGCACTACAGGAGTAGATTATGGTGGTCTAATGTACATCAAAGAGAGCCATAGACGAGGAAAGGTACAGAAATCCAAATGTTACATAGCAGTTTTCATTTGCTTTGTGACGAAAGCCATCCATATCGAGCTTGTGTCAAATCTAAGTAGAGAAGCTTTTTTGGCAGCTTTTCGTCGTTTTACTGCTAGAAGAGGAGCTTGTAGGCATTTGTATAGTGATAATGCCACAAATTCCCAAGGAGCCAACAATGAATTGAGAGAGTTATATCAATTTATCCTAAATCAAGTAAACATTGAAGTCATTGCTAATGCATTATCCAAACAACAAACAACTTGGCATTTCATTCCCCCCAGGAGCCCTCATTTTGGTGGATTATGGGAATCTTCCATCAAATCCGTAAAAAACCACATCAAAAAGGTAATAGGTGACACTCTGTTGACATTTGAAGAGTATGCTACAATTTTGTCACAAATTGAGTTGTGTATTAACTCCAGACCAATAACCTCACTCTCCAATGATCCATCAGACTTAAATCCTCTTATTCCATTTCCTGTTTGGAGACTCATTTACAGGAATTGAAGAAGCAGATTTTTCCAACACCAAGACGAACATCTTTTCTCGTTGGCAGCATCTTCAAAAAATGAAACAGGATATATGGAAACGATGGCAGAAGGAATATCTCTCATGTCTCCAGCAACGGACAAAATGGAAGACAAACTCAGCTTACATCGTGGTGGGCGATCTAGTGTTAGTGATAGACAATTCCATAAACGGTAAGTGGCCTCTAGGAAGGATAATAGAGGTACACCCAGGTAACGATAATTTAATTAGTTATCATTCAAGTGAAAATCTACACAACTTTATACGAGATAAATGTGAAAAATGTCACAAGAATTACAACTGACTGAAGCCAGGAAATGAGAAATAAGTAATTTCTGTAAGATTCAGTTTCCACAGGAAAAAGCAGGTGTTTCAAATAGAGTATTTTTTTCGTTTATCTATCAGAGAAGCTTAAATGTGGCAGACATGACACCTCAGCAACTTTTAATGCTTTATCAAGGTCAAATTGTATCTTTGTAATATTAGATATACAAAATATCCACCTCTAAGCATACCCTGAGGCTGCTAGATTCTACCTTCTCCACTTGATTGGATACCCAAACATCACAAGCAACCTCGATAACCTTAACCAACAACGAGAGTCGATATTATTATTTAATAAACTTCATCGATATGTCAGATAAGTCAAGAGAAAGATAGTCTCCAGATGTTATGTGGTAAGAGTAGTTTCTAATGAGCTCGGTTGTCGTACAGCAAAAACCATTTACCATGCGCTAGTTGAATCTGAGATACGATAAGGTATACCATCTAGGAGAGCATGCAATACAACTCTTCTCTCTTTCGTGATGATACTGCAGGCTATGAGATGTTTGTCTCGCAGGAGTAATTAATCAAAGATTATTCAATCACTTACAATTGGAAATGAGGTCTGCAAACCTAGGCATTCTTCAATTTGAAAAGAGTGGAAAATGTATTTTAAGGGCTTTCATATTTTCTTTACTTTGCTCTCTCTCAACTGTTTGAGGAAGTCGTTAATAACATAATTTTGAATTACATGAATCGAAACAATGTTTTCAGTAACAGTCAACATGGCTTCAGGAATAATAAATCAATTGAATCGGCTTCATACCACTTATTTAATTTCAAGTATACACAAGTTGATTTTAACAAACTGGTTGTGACACTCTTGCTTTTGACACAATATCTTCAAAACTTCTTGTAATTCAATTAGCAGACCAAGGCTTTTCAGATAATTTACTAAGCTGGGTGCAGTTTGCAGTTTAATAGTCAGTTGCAGTGGAGTATAATTAAGTCCCAAAGACGCAACACTAGGAGTACCTCAAGGTTCTGTACTAGGACCACTGCTATTCATCAACTCCATAAGTGATCTGATCTTTTTTCAGAATATCACAACTATGTTTGCTGATGGCACTGCAGTTATTGCGTCTGGAAAATTATCACAAAAAAATTATTACCGTAGTCGACAAATTCAGTGTTTGGTGTCAACGCAACAAACATATTCCGAATGAATCGAAATCATTAATTAGGGGAGACTTCAGCAGTGAATCATACATAGTTAATGGTATTCAGTCATCACTAACGAAGTTGTGTTTTTAGGAACTGCTTTGAACAAACATCGAACCTGGGGTGGTCATCTGCAACAAACTTATTCCTGAAGAAAAGAGAATTGAAACTTTCTATGTTTTTTACCACTTTTATTTGTAACTAACGTTACTGCAGTAACAGTACTGCAGTAGAAAGTTTCAATTCTCTTTTCTTCATTATGGAATGGAAACCCAACAACATAATAAAAATTATTTGGAATTTAATAAAACAGTTTTTGCAAACAATTTTTGAACATCAACAAACCGAACATTTAAAGCAAACATGGCATCAAAGCATCCTGCCCATCTAGATGGATTAATTGTTTTTAATGTTACTGAATTTGATGATACCCCGGTCTCTTCTTTATTGTCAGATATAAAACTAGATAATACATTCCATCGTTTAATTCTATGGCCCAAAAAGTTATAAATTTGTTACACAGTTTCGAATGATATTTGTATTTCTATAACCTCTTTTACTGCATCATTTGATGCCAAATTCAAATTATGAGCAATGCAATGGACATAAACCGCATTCGGGTTGGGATTCTCCTCTGACCTAGGCCCCTTCCGGCTTGGGGCCCGTGTCATTTTGCCGACTTGCCACCCTGTAGTTACGCCACTGTTGGCGGCATAAAAATAATATGAAAAATAATCAGCTTCGTAAGGTTAACTACATGCCAGCTGTCACAGCTTGATTGGTTAATATAGTTGAAGTAGCTAGCTTAGAGATTATTGGAAAATGTGAAAACAAACTTGAACTTCTTTAAACGAGGGCTATTAAATATTTTTAATCAATAATGATATTTTGGGGGTCAGGATATATCAGAAGCAATAAAAAACAGTGAGAGGTAATCAGTGCTCCTAAATTATTTATATTAAGTGGGTTTGATTATTGTTTGAGTTCAAATATGTGGATGAATGTTCATCATAAATATAAAATTAGTTTTAAAGCAACGATATTCTTGACAAAAAGGCCATGAACTAGTTCAGTTCAAGTAAAATCATATCTCCTGATACTATTTTTTTTGGGAGATTTGAGTTAAATGACCGTTTATTAAAAATTGTTGTTTGCTTCATTCATAAATTTACTGGTTTACTTATAACACTGATTTAATTAAACAGCGATTATCTTTCAATCGAGAATTCGAGCACTTTACTACTTGATCACAAATTAGTCATGTTTTAAGTGGATGTGTCTGATTAACGGCATGGCAGACTGTCAATCTAATATATTTGATGCTGATTAGTTTGATTAACCAGTGTTCTATGTAATTCTATAAAATTTACTATTTCTTGGTCGACGAACTATCAATAAAATCATACAAAAGCATATCAAAGAGACAGCATATTATATATTTGGAGAATATGCGGTAAATGTTGCTGAAAAACGACAGGAAAATCAAACGTACTACTTGAATAAATAATTGTATATTCAGAAAGCAAGTATTGTATTTTATGTGTAAACAATCTTTAAAAATGTAACAACTGAACTGCTTTTAAAAAAGTTAACTTGACACTAAAACAGTTTACTGAAAATATTGTCGAAAAAATATGAAGGTGTAATTAAAAGTTTAATTCAAAAATAAATATCTAGAAATTAATAATTTTCTTGAGGCATTACATTGTAAAGGAACTTTAAATCATATAATTCATCTAGCTCAAGATTATTCACTTTTTACAAAATAGACTGTAAAATAAAAAATAACCGAAATGAATACAACAAAACAACAACTATTATACTTGTGAGTTTTAGATTAATTTTGTCAAGGCTATAAGCTGGAGACCAAAAGCACTTGTTGGATTTTTGAAGAAAATTGAGTTGGTCATTACCCTGTACATGTTTAAAAATGTTCAACAATATCTCACTTGCTTGAAGTTGATGTAAAAAAACAATCACTGATCAACTATTCAAATATTTAAGTATATCACAAAAAAGCAATGTGCAACAACTTGCACCAAATTTTAAAATTATCATCCTAATATTTACTACTAATGAATACCTCTCAATTTTCTTGAAACTTCTAAAACATATAGAAGCATTGAAATAAGAGCCTTGATTTTCATGAACTTAATGAATTAACAATGGTATCATTATCAACAATTTACAATTTCAAAAAAATACTTGTATATATATAAAATCTAGTAATAGGTCCATCTAGATCGTCTAAATTTCCAAAAATAACTGTTTCAGCCATTATTGTAATTCAACTAAAATATGACTTAGGTGTTAACTATTTTACATAAAGAAGGCGACGTTACGCAAGTTGATGCAATTTGAGGACCGAATCAAATTGCACAACAGTGACAGTATCAAATGCACCTAAATATTGTTTTTAAATAAATAAACATAGTTAAAGAGCAGGCTTTAACATTGATATCTATTTTTAGTACTCAAATAAACCCAGTATGTTTCTGTTCCATTAGAAAGAAATCTTCGAAATGAGATATTGCCATTTAACAAAAAAAATATTCTCAAAATATGAAAAGTGAAAAAAAAAATACAAATGATATGTTTATCAAAGAACTTCCAGAAAAACATTCTACAAAAATACTAGAAATAATTGCGGTGGCTGTTTTACTTAGAACCATTGATCTGTTCAGATTGAAGCCATAATTGAGATGAATTTCAAATTCAACAAACTGGTAGTTGAATAAAATTTGTGAATTGGATTTTACTAATATATCAGAACTTGCCTGCAAACAAAATAGTTGAAAGTTAAAAAACTTATTTTTACAAACAGTTTCTGCTGTTAATATCTCTGCTAATAAATTAGTAACTTTCAACAATTCTAATGTTTAAAAAAAATGCACTTGATTCTCTACAAATTATGGAATGTAATACACAAAAACATATATTGTTACCGAAAATTTCACATATATCAAAATCAGTTCTAATTACAATTTTGTACTTCACCTTTCTAGTTTGAAAAATGTTGCTACAAAAATAAAACTTTCAATGACTATATCTTGTATCTACTTGTCCGTCATGTATAATTTTGTTGTAACTGCTTCAAATATTAGAGCAATTGGCTATGGAAAAAGTATAGATATTTAAAGCAATTCCAATAAAATTGACAGGTGTGACTGAATTATTCATTTTATAAAAACATTTTTACAATTTTCAGTATTAAAATCAACATACTTTTAATTGTTACTGTTATTTTATATTTACAATATCATTAATGTAATTCCTAAGAAGGAGTTAAAGGCTTTTTTTTTTAATCGACAGCTCAGTTGAAACTATTGATTATACATATTCGACAGTTGGAATTTTCAATTATACATATTCGACGGTTTGAACTGTCAATTACAACAGACAATTGACAGGTTAACTGTCAAGTATGAAAAATTCCCTGTGGCCCTCAACACCTTCAGTACCTATGAATATGACGAGAATAATGAAATGGTAAATTGAAATAGGTTCAAATTCATGGGTCCTATTCCCAATAACAGGCACAACCTTTCTACCAATATTTTTGTGATGAAAGCGGTAATACAAATGAAAATTATATTGATCACTGACTCCAGAAGTTAATATCAAAACCAATCATTTACACATACAACTATTTATTAACAAATTTACAGAAACATACTGGGTGGAGCCAAAGAAAATAAAACCATCTACAGTATACATGAAAACACCTCTCAAGAAGGTAAGTATTTTGCAACATTATAAATTATAATCAGAGATGGTTTCGAAGTAGCATCAGCATATATGTTCATACGGAAGAAAGCATGCACGCATTGTTACATACATATATTTTTCCTATTATAGACACTTTTTACATATTTTCATATTTATATGATTTTTATTTGATTTTCCAAAGAAAAATATTTCAACAGAAAATAAAGGAATATTATCACCGTCAAAAAAAATTATTCATTCAACTGTTATTTTTATTGAGTATCATGCATAAAAACTCGACCAGGAATGGAAAACGAAAGTTTGTATTTTGCCAAAGGTCTATATACACTTACTTTCTCTAGAAGAAATGAAATACATTTTTAAATCCAATTATCTAGTTTAGAGAGCATCATACACAAAGAACAAAGCAGTAAGTGATCCCATACATTTGAAATGTGGACATGTTTTTTGGTTTGTTGAACTTTTCAAAGGAAAAATACAAATATTCTGTTCCATACCACATTCAGGCATAAATACGCTCTTTATATATTGACATTAAAAAAATAGTTATTTTTGACGATATTTAATTACCTCTATGTCTATATAGTCGAGTTAAATAATAAATAACATGTTGCATAATGAGTTAAATAATAAATAACATGTTTCCTATGGCTCCAAAATGATATTTACATTTCGGAGCCGCAACTGTTAACTTTTTCGTAATATTGCTGGTTGGTCACGAAATAAAGAGTCCACATTTCGGAAAATTCGAGATTTCCTAGAAAACATTTCTTTACGACGAAATTTATTCCACGATGTTTTATATTCTATTCATTTCAATAAAAAATAATCCACCATATTTTCGCATGCCCATATCATAAATACACTAGATATTTATTAAGTTTTCCCGGTAGGTACAGCATTTATTTGTACAAACTTTTCAGTTTTCAATTCTTTGACTAGTATTATCATTTAAAATGTTGAAGTACACTATAACTCTTCCTTCCAAGATTAAGACTCCTCTTGGTAGTACTGTACTTTACCATTTGATTGGTTGACTATCGCTTCCCATGCTGAAAATAAAGAAATTTGTTAATACATCGAATGATCTCTAATCACCAAATTGTGATTAAATATTGCTACAAAGTTTTCAGAACTGAAAATTGTGGTTATTAATTTTTGGCTCTTATTGTTACGGACAAAGTATGATGGGAACTAGTTCTAAATTCCAGACATCACCACAAAATGGCAAATGAGACTTTGCCGAAACACTGTCCATATGAGATTGAAATTCACTTTAGCGCCTGCTCAAAGATTTTATCGCCCGCCTGGCGATAAAGTAGTCCGCGGGCGTTAAAGTGCTACTTTACGCCCGGTCGTGCATAAAAGTTTTTATCCACTAAAAATTGTTATAAACAAATGCGTTATTATAAGATAATTTAATTTTTTTTTAAACACAATCTTTGATGCATATCGTTTTTTTTTATTACTTGAAAATGGATTTGTTGAATAACTTTTTACATTTTTTTAATCACTTGTAATAAATATTGAGGAACCATTTCTTTATCGTAATTTATCCTGCTCTAAAAAAATTGGTTATCTTTTTTCTCTTTCTACACAATGTAACAAAATCAGTATTTCTTGAGAAAAACAAATCCAAATTTTCTATCGAATTTTAAAAATTCTGTTTTCCTTTACTCATCTGGTTTTTTATGTTTGAACTTAGCCATATTTTTTAGTCATCAAAGAGCAAAATAACTTATGATAAGAATGGTTCCTCAATATTAAATACAAGTGTAGAAAAAAAAAGTTGAATAAAATTTAAAAAAAATCATGTTCATGTAGCTTCCAATCATAAAAAATGGATCGATGGTATGTTCCGGTTGGTTTCAAGGTTTTGCCGTGGTCTTCTTTGGTTACAATCTCCAAACGTTTCAACTGCAACTGCGGCAGTCATCTTCAATGGCGTGGTCAAAGTACTCTTCTGGAGGGATGGATGGATGGTATTATTGAAAAATAAAATCAAATAAAAAAAAACATGTGCGTCTCGGAACGCCCAACAGAAGTGATAACTTGAACAAATCTAAATAAGCCAATAAGCTAATTGTTACTTTTGTAGGATTAAATAATGATAATAATAATGTACATACACAAAATTAGTATCATCATTTTTATTTTCACAAATAAAAGAATATTACGTTCTTGCTGGTTAGATTCTTTTAATACTGTCAACCGTATATGTCTAACGCACACTGAACACTAAGCGTCTGTCCAACGAGACAGGAGGAGTCTGTCTTTCGCTGATGTATGCGTGAGAGAAATTGAAGCAAAACAAACTGGCGCCGTTACGCGTTAGGTAACGAAGCGGTTTACCCTCACAATAAGTGATATTTGGTTCAACAGGATTTGTACGATGGGGAGTATTTATATTTTGGGAACTGGCAACACTAATGTCAATAGGTAAAATGTGGCAACACCATTTTTTAGCATAAACGTACTCACAAAAAGTTTTGAGGTACAAGTGATATTTGTTTTNACAATCTTCTCTGGTTGAACAGAAGTGATAATTTCTATGAGAGAAATATTCCCTAAATTTTTTGAGGTCACAAAATATTTGTGAGCAAGAAGAAATTTCCAGAAATAATTTAGACATGTGTAGTATTTGATAAGAAAATTTCACATCGCACTGAATTTCAAAATATTCAAAAATTTATTTAGGGCAAAAAAAGCTTCATCCAATTGAGATATTTGACAATTCAAGTTATTATGAATCCCATAACCATAAATCATGAGTGTTTTCTGAGGAGACTTTCCCCTCATAAACCACTATAAAAGTATTAAAGGAACAATAAAATAATAAATTTGACTTTATTGAAATGAATGAAAACACTTTTGTCTAAGCTTCATTGGTGGAAATTAGACAAACGTGTAATTTCAACCAGTGAAGCTTAGACAAAAGTGTTTTCAATCTAGTTACACTTCAGTTATTGATTAGAAGTATATTAAATAAAAAATTTTCACTTAACAGTTTGATTTCCGTAATTTTCTTATACAGTGCGGTCGTATAAAGTTGCCACCCCTAGAGGACGCTATAATTTTTTTTATGATAATGGGGACTTTGAATAGATCTTTCGATTCTCTATCCCAATAATGGTTTCTCATCATTTCTTCTTGAAGTTATACAGAAAGAGATACCAGAATTCATAAGAAAGGGAGTTATAATCTTTTAGAGAGATGTAAGAGAAAAATTTGTGTGAATAGAGCAGCAGAGTGTTAAGGTACAAGTATTATATTGCATTTTCTGGTATCCACTTGATTTTGACTATGCATTGTTATTTGCTCTTTGAGTAGACACCTGATATATTTGGTAATCAAAACTTTATGTATAAGACTGAGTAGATGAAGTTAATGCACTTTTTCAAGTTTGGCCCATCCGGATTCTGTAAACTAGGCATTAATGTGATCAAATTTTCGAATTCCATATGCAAATTGAATACAAAATTCTGTATTTGTTGCAAAAGGGTAGATCAGCCTGGTTCATGGTTCACAAGCAAATTCAAAAAATTGATAACCTGATATCACCATTCTATGAATTACTGGAGAATGTAAATGTGAAGACCACAATATTTGTAGTTACATGCTCAGAAAAGTTATAACATTTACTTAAATGTGTTTTTCTGAGAATCTCATTTTTAAAAACATATTGGAAATAACTCCAACAGAACTGTAGAAACAAGTTTCAAATATTGATGGAGTCTTCATTCTAGCCAGAGAAAATTTAAAGAATAACATTTTTAATCCACCCTAATAATTTTTATTATTTGTTTCCTCAATCATAAAAGTACTAATAAAATGCGAGGCTCTGCATGGGAATCTCATACATTATCATTTGAATTGTGGCAAAGTGTTGTAGCTGATTATCCTTTACCACAGGAAACTTCAGTGGGTAATCAGAGTACATTTAGAGAACTTTTGTTCTAGATGTGGTCTGCCTTTCAAATGACCCTATATACAAAAGTTCTATGAACACATTTTTTAGACCACTAAAAGTTCTTATGCAGTACCAACTTAACCATTAGGCAGACTAGACAGCAGCCTAGGGCCCGTACCTTAATTTGAACTATAAAATGATTTAATTTTTCATAAAAATCACATTTTTGTCGTCATCTGAAACTGCTAGTAACTTTGTATACCTTACGACACGAGGCACATTACCTGGCACTACCACTCAACACACTATGCACTATTATTGGCAATTTGGTAATTGGTTTCGCAAGAAAAACTTGTTCAGAAGCTACTAACTATTTCAGAATTGAATTGAAGGGGTTATATTTTTAGGAGTGATTAATTTTTTTGGGAAAGAAAGTTTTTGGCTTTCTACTACTCCATCTGATACAAAAAAAGGGATGAGAGAATCTTCCAAAGAAAGGAAGGAAGTAATCAATTTGAAACTCTATACATGAATGTGTAGATCATGCAAAGAAGTAACTTTCAGACACAAACTGAAAGAAAGTCCTCCTGAAACAGCTACTTTCATATAAACANTTTTTCATTTTCATAACTAATATCTAATTTGATTTGATTCATTGATAAATCATCTTATTTTTTATAAGGTTACAATTCATATTAGGTATCTGAAAATGTTCCTATAATCAAATTTTTCTGTTTACTTTTGGGTTTCTAATTTCCATCATACAATTTGTCTTTGACTAATGTACTGCACATTAAAAAAAAAAGAAAAAATTAGGGTGCTGCTCCAATTGAGATGTACATTCAAAAATTTTAGTCACTTTATAAACTACAGACAACTCACCTGAACCTATGTAGTTGACAATCTTCTCATGATTATAAGATGAGTGGCTGAATATCTCAGGCGCCACGTATCTGGATATGAAATCCTCACAAATGTCTTCATTTAACAACTGTTCGTTTACATCGAAACCAAACACTAAACCAGTCACCTCCTTGTTTCCGATACCACTCAGAATAACGACAGGGGGTGGACTCTCATCACCTTCACTAATTGTTCTTTCACTATTATCACAGATGATACTATTTGAATGTATACTGTTAGTTTCATTTTGAGGTGTCAATGCTGAGGTAACAAATGTCTCCTGGGAACCAGGCGGAGACAATTGAGTATGACTAATTATCGGCAGGTTCTGTTGAGGCTGAGTAGGTGGTGGTCGGTTGAAAAAATGCATCTTCTCAATAGTCTGAACATCGGGAATATTCGGAGGTAGCATCTGGGCATTGAACTGAATAGATTCTTTCTCGTTTGAATGAATTATCTGAAAAAGGTATTTTGAAATGAATGATATCACTAATCTCATTAATGATGATGGTAATCTTACACAATCTATAGTTTTTTCTACATTACAGGCAGAATACAAAAAGTTGAGGCCAATAAAAAACTCTTGAAGGAAAATAATGTTCCTATCGTGATACCCAACAATTATTGTAACTACTTACACTGGACTGGACTTAATGAGTGAAACTGAATCTGTAGTCAAAGTGTGTTAATATTCATGTTATTAATAAAATGAATAAAATACTTCTTATTCAATTCAGTAGTCCTCGAAAATAATATATTAAATAATATAATATTCAACTTATTTCAATCTGAAATCATAACATAAGAAAGCACAAATTCTTCATTATATGGCTAGACTGATTAATATATATTATGCACATTTGTTCATTTTACAAAAAGTATTCGTAAGGATTATTTTTGGCATGAACTACAATATGTCTTGTAGAAATACTTTCAAACAGAATAATATTCTAACATTCCCATATGTTTATCATCTATACAAGTTATTATTCTCGACAATAAAGAAATGAATATACATTTATATAAAAATGGTAACCCTCATGAGTACAATACTAGATACAAAAATCATCAATTCAATGGAATATGGTTCACAAAATATGCTGGAGGCTACTTTTATAATCACTTTCTGAATCCATGAAATCAGCAAAAAGTTGATGAAAAATTAAAATCGACTTGAAAAATGTTTTGCTTCATCACTATTTTATTCATTAAATGAATAATACAACTTGAATACCAGTACAACATCCAAACAGCTGTGTAGACTTTTTGTATACTCCTTATATTTTATATTTTCAACGATTATTGCAATAGTGCACTTTCAGCTCAAGAATAATATTTGTCTGTGTATATTCAATGAATTACTTGTGTAAATGTTACATGTTCACATCCAACTATAAATAGTAGTTTTCTAAGGATCTCATTCAGCTTTAATAAGCAATATTGTCAAAAAAACCTCTATTCACTTAGACACAAGGCTGTTCTTAAATGAATCATTAGAAAGTGTAGACATATGTTAGGTAATTATATTGTATAGTAAGATTAATTATAAATTGTTCATTTTTTATTGTATTCAAAAATGCAGTTCTGAACATAATAATTATAGACAATAAGAAATAATAAAAAATATGATTGGAACATTTTTCTAGTAATTGGCAAAGAATTTTTTTTAAATATCTACTTGAAATTAAATTTTTCATCGAAATTAGCATGCTATTATATTTTTTAAATATAGCTACATATTTCAGAATTGTTCAGGAAATATTTGTTTTTTCAAGTTCTACCCATCGATGGAAGAATATACAAACTAGATTTTCAATGTTTCTGCAAATGAAAAGCACAACCAAATATAAAATTTGGAATATTTCAATTTTTCCTGTATATTTCTAGAACCAAAAGATTTACTGGCTTTTCTCAATAATACTCTAAAATAGACAAATTTACCACAATTTAATGAACTTTCTATTTTTGACCATTTTCAATTCCCATGCAGAAAACTAAATTTGCAGCCATGGGTATATGTTTTTTTTTTACTTCAACCTGTTAAAAATTTACCAAATTTACAGGATACACAGTTCTATGTCAAATGCCTTGAAAAGTTATGGATGTTATGTGGTACTAAATAAAATTTACTTTTTCAAAACCATGTGCACAATAATGATATATTNAATACAGTTCTGAACATAATAATTATAGACAATAAGAAATAATAAAAAATATGATTGGAACATTTTTCTAGTAATTGGCAAAGAATTTTTTTTAAATATCTACTTGAAATTAAATTTTTCATCGAAATTAGCATGCTATTATATTTTTTAAATATAGCTACTGGTTCTAAGGACCATTACAATCTGAAAAATTGCTTTATTCCAAGCTCTTCAGCAGTGTCTGTGAGATAAACGTAAATTCTGTATAATTTAACGCCATTCTATTCATAATGTACTGTAGTGACACATTATGAACAACGCCTTTCATTGCAGATCTTCCAAGTTTTTGGAACACATTTTCTATCAACAGCTTCAAAACTGAAAGTGAATCAGCAAAATATTATTCACTATCTTAGTTGTTAGATAATTTACCTAGAGATAACACAAGGTTAAACAATAAAGATATAATGATTAGATTGTTGTGAAAGTATCATAACTGGTCACACTTCAAATCTGCAATAAACATTGAATCTGTGCCTTATTGTTCAACAAGTTTATTTATATAATTTGATAGGTCATTTATAACTTTTCAGGGTTTCCAACTTATCTAGTATCAGAACTTCATATTGATTAATATGATAATTAAATTTGCAAATACCTTAATAGCTAGTCTAACAACCCTTTAAAAATGTACATGACAGTGACAACCTGTATATTTGCAATGAAGGACCCATTTTCAGTTCATCAAATACCTAAATTTCCCTAAAACACAATTCTAAATAGTACACACCCAAAGAGTTAGGAACAAAAAATTAAAATATTTCATTTTTGGGCTTCTGTTCAACAATTTAACTAAAACTTCAAAATCCCTTCCTCTGGGCATCTGTCTGTAAACAAAACTACAAAATAACTCACCCTGTTGCTCCTCTACATTACTTCCTTATACCAGACATAATATTGAATAACTCACTTCAAATATTGTAATTTATTGCAATAAAATGGCGAAAATATCTGATTAGATATCAAACTCAGAACTGCACGTTTTTCAGCTGTGTCTACCTATATTTTAGCTGTTGGTTGTGTAAGTACTAGACTATTAATAGCTATTACAACTACTTCAAAACAAACAGTATGATGTCAGACAGAATATGTTCACTAATAGTTTCATAAAGATAAAGCTTCCTTTGTTGGAATTTGTGATAACAGATGAGTACAGACAAGGAAAATTCATTATTGATGGCATCATAATGTTATTCAATTTATTTACTATGGCTAATCTATCAGCTTTTATTTGGAAAGTTATAAATAGATTAGTTGTATTCAACTTGAAACAGCTGTAGCATCCCTATAAGCATTCATTTAAAAAAAAAGGATATATTATAGGTAATGATACACTAGTGAATATAAATGAAATCATGAAATCCTTTTAGGTTTGTAGCAAAACACGAGTATTTTCCCTTGATTTATTTTATACTAGGTTGGATAAATATTCTCAAATTCTTAATGTAGTGGAAGCTTCTTCAACTAGACAAAATGAACATGTAAAACAATATATGGATATATTGCTGCTGAGGACAGTATCCCACATGAAATATTTTTCATTATATTAAATATCAATTTTGAAAATTTTAATAAATTACGATGTATTTTCTATAATGTTATCCAATTTGGTACTGAAGAACCTTGGGGCAAGTGTCTTAAGGCGAAACATCGGTGTATACCAGTGAGGGTGACAGTGTTCCATGTAAGTGCAATTTATTACCATTCATTCAAAGTAGAACTCATGTGATTGATATCTGATTTTTATTCCACAACGAATGTTTGAAATACAAACTGAGTAGAGAAAAGTATCTTCTGTATAATTCAGTGTTCATATAGAAGTATTTGTTTCGAAAGACTTTTTTCTTTCGTGTAATTCAATGTTTATATGAAAGTAGCTGTTTCAGGAAGACTTTCTTTCAGTTTGTGTCTGAAAGTTACTTCTTTGCATGATTTACACATTCATGTATAGAGTTACTTATTATCAAATTGATTACTTCCTTCCTTTCTTTGGAAGATTCCCTCACCTTTTTTTTTCCAAGATGGAGTAGTAGAAAGCCAAAAACTTTCTTTCTCAAAAAATCAAAAAAATAATATTACTGTTTTCTCATTTGCCCATAATCTCAAAGACTCCACGCATGTTTTGCATAACATATTAGGCACCCAGTACTTGTCACGGGTGTCCATAGTAAATCCAAAGTTATTTAGATTCGCGCTTTTTACAAACACCGACATAGTCTACATTTTTTAATGTATATTCACCACAGATATTACAGAAATAGTTGGGATGGTTTTTACAAGGTAACTAGTACACAAATATGGTGAATAGCTGTATCTCAGAAACTAGAGATATTGTGAAAAATGAGAGGGTAAATTTGAAATCAGCAACCTCGAATTAGTAAACAACAGTCTTGAAATTCCAGGCAACAAAAAAACAATTGAATTTTTTCCCTTGTGTAATTTATTGAAAAATTATATGGAAAAATTGTACCTAGTGTCAATTACTGCCGTTGTTGGGGTTGCAAAAATGGTTAATAATGTAGTATTAAAGATCAAAATTTTGTCATTTTTTAGATATTTAAATGATTTTTTATTTCAAATGAGTATAATGTGCAATTTTTCACATAAATGTTTATGATAAGATATTTCCAAGTATCATATGAGAATGGTTCTAAAAAACAAACATTTTCAAGGGTATTGATAATTTAATTTTCATGACGCTATTTGTAAAAATGGAGGTCTGAAGAATATTTCTTTTTTCAATAGGACTTCATTTGGTAGTTTAATCAAATTTTTAAATGGATATTCATCATTAAAAAAAATCATATAATTTATTGTCTTCAATGGCAATATGTCCATGTCATAATGTGCCTTATTTTTGGCGTTCAACTGAAATTATAAATAATGTTGGAGGGCTTTTTTATTGTAAATTTTCTCTTCTTCCAGATTCATTTATTTTTATTGCTCAAGTATCGAATGCCTTTTTTTATCTTTTTTTGTTAACACTCCGATACACGACGGCGGTCTATTAGTTTCGGCAAAATACAATAAACCTTGGTATGTTTGAAATACATTTTATCAAGATCTGCTATCTTATGTACCTGTCAAGTAGTTAAAAAGGTACAATGTATACTTTATCTTATCATAATATCTTTTTTTGCATGTTTGGATTTCATATTTTGGCGAACGGAAAAAGTTTGCGTTGTTATTTTATAAGAATTATTGTTAGCAGACGCAGTGATTTATTTTACTAGTTTTATTTTGGTTTCGAAGTGTTGTTACTTTGAGCAATATTTTATGAAATCTTTTCATGGCTGTTTCTGTTCAGTTTGTTCAGTTTTTTCAGGTTTCTACTTCCAATTAAATCTTATTCTTTAGTGTTTATTACATATTTTTTTTTAGCATAATGGATCCTTACGAAAGGGAAATAGCACGTTTACAAAATTTGTACAAAATTGTATCTTCTGATGAGGGTACAATTTATGACTGATGATTCCATTGCTGAAGGAGAGGATGAGGTGATCGATCATGAGACAGATTCGGAGATTTGGAATTTGATCCCCCTACAAATGTCCGGACCAGGAGTGAAAATATTGTTTCACATTTGCCAGGTACCATTCGTGAGGCAAAAGAAGCTTAAACTTCCATTGCTGCTTGGGACCGTTTATTTAGTAATATTATTGAACTTGTACTGCATTATACAAACATGTATATTACAAGAGTTTCTCCTAATTATAAAGATCCAAATGATGCAAAGCCAACATCTGTAGCAGAACTCAGAGCATTTATTGGTTTACCCTACTTGGCTGGGTTAGATCATGTGTCAAAAAAAATTTTAGAAGAATTTTGGATGCAAGACGATATGGGATTTGAAATATTTGTTGCAGCTATGTCTCAAAGACATTTTATATTTTTGCTCAGAGATTCGTTTTGACGATAAAGATACAATTGCAAGATCTGAACTTGATAAGTTAGGTCCCGTAAGACTGATGCTTGAAATGTTCATAAATAATTCTTAAAGCTGTTATAGCCTTGGAGAATATGTGACATTGGACGAAATGCTTTTTGCCTTCCGCGGTAGGCGCAATTTTCGCGTTTACATTCCCAATAAACCAAAGAAATATGACATCAAAGTTTTCGCAACGGTTGATGCCAGAACATTTTATACACATAATTTAGAAATATATGCTGGTGTGCAGCCTGCTGGGACATATCAAGTAGATAACAGTACCTCAGCATTCACACTAGGGATCTGTCAAGATTTGTTTTGATTTGGGAGAAATATTACTATGAATTGCTGGTTTGTCAGTTGCGATCTCATCCAAATTTGAAGACAAAATATAGACTCACCATCGTGGGTACAATAAAAAGCAATAAAAGAGAACTGCCGCAAATTTTATCACATACTAAATATCGTCCTGTAGGTTCCTTTATTTTTGGGTTTGGTGTTCATATGATGGCATTTCCTTATGTGCCCAGAAAGAGAAAGAATGTGCTGATGATATCTTCATTCCACAATAGTGGTACAGTCGATCCAATAACTGGTAAACCAGAAGTTATTTTATTTTATAATAATACTAAATGTAGAGTCGATATTGTGAATAAAATGAGCTCCAGTTATAACGTTGCAAGGAATACGAAACGATGCCTTTAGTTGTGTTTTATGGTATTTTGAACATTGCTAGCATAAATGCATTTATAATTACCAGGCACAACGACCCGAATCAGAATCATAGTAAACAGAGAAGATTATTTATCAAGAATTTGGGCTTGGAGATAATAAAAGACCATATGCAGTCCAGAGCTACTATGTCAGGTTTACATTCCTACATTCGAAATGCAATAATAGCTAAACATATTGGAATCGGCACTAAAGAAAAAACTTCCCTCCACCCAACAAAAGAGGGCACTGCAAGTATTGCAAAAAGAAAAAACTCGTTATTTTTGTAAATTTTATAAAGCTTGGCTCTGTATGAGTCACATAATATTGAGTTGTAGAGAATGTGTTCAACACCGGTCCTGAGTCCGGTACTGTCAATTCACGTCAATGCAGTTGCTGCAGGATGAAAATTTGTAATATTTGAGGTTGTCCTAATAGACCACCCTCTTGTATCGATGTTAGTCTGTCTGAGGTCGTCCATCGGAGTGTTGATAACAATTGATAAGAGTTTTTTTTTTTGTTTGATACATTACTCAATTCCTTTTTCCATAATGATAAACTTGTTCACTTCATCCACAAGTACAATATCAATGTGATTTCATAGGAACTAACATTAATGTATATGTTTATTATCTCTAGAAATATAACTAATATATAAAAACTCAATATTCAAAATACGAGTATATGAGAACATTTTTCAAATATAAAAATGTTGTTTTTTAAATAGAACAATTAAAAATGAATCAAAACTTCAACAAAGTCTCTGAAGTATTTTGAAATTGGGAGAGTGGTCTATTTCCCATTGACCAAAATGAAGTGACACAGATTCCATCCAATGAAAAATGACTAAAATTTTTATCTCAGGTAATCAATTCAACAATTTGTTAATAGTATGTGAATATACTTTTAAGAAATTAGTTTGAAAAATGCCGCAAGGAATATTAGCACTATGAAACTTCAAAGAAAATGCACTAAGTCATATTGGGCATGGTATTCAAGCAGAGGGGTAAAATAAAGAATTTTTGGGGCCCATTTTTGCATAAAAGACTCACCGAGTTTGAAAACATCAATACAATCATAAATGTTATCAACGTATTTCTAAATGTTATTAGCACTTGTACAGAGTTGAAGAATTGACTGATACTTGATGAAAATCCATTATAAAGTATTCAAAAAACACAGTTTTCAATTGGAAATTTCACATTATAATGTGTTTTTTTCAATGCGATAGTGGCTAATAAAGCTAAGTGAAATTAGTGCTCAAAATTATTCGTTATATACAGATAAAAGAATGCCAAAGAAGTTTGAGATACATACGTTGACATAGACCTTTTGCTTAAAATTGGTTTAATGAGAAATCCAATTTCTTTACGTTTGGACTCTTGCGAACTGATGGAAACCTATGTGAACCAGTGATGGACATATCCCAGAAACTTCGAAGAACAGGATTTACACTCAGTGATGAGTGGGTGGTTCATTGTTATTAACCGGCTTGTCTGACCAGTTTTCCCCAATGGCACTGGCGATTGAAAGTGCGGGAATAGACATAACTACAGAAACATTTAAAACAAAGTTGATGCAGATAGATGTCACTAATAGTTCGACATTTTCAGCAAAAAAGTTGAAACAGTCTTCACGAGATGGCGGCACCAGTAAAGTATCAAATATCAGTGATTTCAAAGAGAGTATGTCAAAATACATCTTATTTACTAATGGGGAGTCACTGCCAGTCGAAGAAATTGGAAATGTAAAATTATATTGATTTGAATAAATAAGAAAATAGTGAATATTTTAATAAACAAGGCCCAGTATGTTTCCAACTTGATTACAAATTTGTTCTATGTGAGTCAGTTCATCAAAAATGGGAACCAAATCCTCTTCAAACAGTGCATGTTGCGAGATTTTCAATGCCCAAAATGAACTTATAACAATAACTAAA